CTACTGCTACTGCTACTACTGCTACTGCTACTGCTACTGTACTACTGCTACTGCTACTACTGCTACTGCTACTACTGCTACTACTACTGCTACTGCTACTACTGCTACTACTGCTACTGCTACTGCTACTACTGCTACTGCTACTACTGCTACTGCTACTGCTACTGTACTACTGCTACTACTACTACTACTACTACTGCTACTACTGCTACTACTACTACTACTACTACTACTACTACTACTACTACTACTACTACTACTGTACTGCACTGTACCGGCTTCATCAGCTGACTGATTTACACATCAGAGGTTTATTGTTTGACGTCTGTGAAACCTGGATCGTGTGTTTCCTAAAAAGTTGTGTGTTTTCATCAGCTGAGGACTCCAGTCACTTCCTGTCCTTTACACAGTGTCATAATTTGTTCTCATTTTGCACTATCAATCACTCCCCCCCCCCCCCCCCGAGTCTGTCTTCAAATGTTAGGTCTTTCATTTTGGAACAGAAGTATTCATTTCTCCTCTAAGCTACCTTAAGCCGACCTAATCCATCCCGCCTCTGCATTTCATTTGTGCCACTGATGAAAAACGTCGCATCTCCCCCCCCTCAAAAAAAAAAAAAGAAAAAGAAAAAAGTCAACTTTACGGGGAATAAAGAAAAACAGCCTCATTTTCAGACTGACAGCTCGAGCCTGGAGCCTGGAATTGACTTGTGAATAGGTTTTTTAGAAGTGCGAGGCTCAGAAAAGTTACCCGGGGCAACACTTTGAGTGTTTTCACATGACAGCAGTGATATGAAAGCTGGTTTTTGTATATGTGTGTGTGTGTGTGTGTGTGTGTGTGTGTGTGTGTGTGTGTGTTTGTGTGTGTTTTTATGCCTCTTGAAACCAAGCTAAATACATCCTGCCCTTCCTTTTGAATATGTGTGGGAGCAATTTGTGTCAGTGTTGAAGCTGCTTGACGCTATTATAATCCTGCTCCGCACAACACAAAGCAATTAATCTTTTAAAAGGCACAGGGGGAAAGGTGTGTGTGTGTGTGTGTGTGTGTGTGTGTGTGTGTGTGTGTGTGTGTGTGTCACTAGAGTAGGTAATGGCCACGAGAGGTCATTTCAGTGATGCTTTTAAAACTCTCCTCTCCGCTCCAAGGGCAACAATTAACATTCGCCAGAGACAGAGAGAGAGACGGAGAGAGATGGAGTGAAAAGAAAAAAAAAGAAGCAAATTGAAAAAGCCGTAGACAGCGGCCGAAAACAAGAGCGAGAGGAAGAGAAAGAAGACAGAAATAAAACAGTGATGGAACAGATAGAGAATAAAACTGGAACGATTGTGGGACAGAAAGAGAGGGAGGGACATTAACATGCACGGCGGCGGCTGCAGCTCATGTTGGCTGATGCTTTTACCAGCGAGCTCGTCAGTCGGAGCACAAAGAGCACACTTGATCCAGAGCACAGAAACACTGCAGGGCAACGCTACTACTCCCTTTTAATTCACTCTCAGGCTGCTGAGAGAGAGAGAGAGAGAGAGAGAGAGAGAGAGAGAGAGCACACGAGTAATGAATTCTCACGCACAGAGCGGGAAATGTTGGAGTCCGTCAGAGACGTCAGCATCATGACAACGTTCCTCAGATCACACCCAGGTTCGAGACTGAACCTAAAGGTCTGAGTGTGTTGGTGATCACGGTCTCACGGTCTCGCGCTCACGTTGCAGGAGCAGTACGTGTTTGTTCACGATGCCATCTTGGAGGCGTGTCTATGTGGGAACACAGCCATACCCGTGTGTGAGTTCAGAGCCATTTACTACAACATCAGCAGACTGGACCCACAGACCAACTCCAGCCAGATTAAAGACGAGTTCCAGGTGGGCAAGTACACACACACACACACACACACACACACACACACACACACACACACACACACACATATACAAACTAAAATAAAATCTAAATAAAAGATTTCGGGGATCCGCTCTTTGCTGCGACGACATGACGATCATGGCGTTTTTCTGTCCATCAGACTCTGAACATCGTGACGCCCAGAGTCCGTCCAGAGGACTGCAGCGTGGGTTTGCTACCCAGGAACCACGACAAGAACCGCAGCATGGACGTCCTGTCGGCGGACCGCTGCCTCCCGTTCCTCATCTCTGTGGATGGAGAGAGCTCCAATTACATCAATGCTGCACACATGGACGTAAGTGTGTGTGTGTGTGTGTGTGTGTTTTGGGATGTGAATATATGTGTGTGTGTGTGTTTATCTCCTGCTTCCTGTGGTTATTTATTTCTGCTCCGTCTCAACACTCCAGAGCCACAAACAGCCAGCGGCCTTCATCGTTACCCAGCATCCTTTGCCAAACACCATGGGCGACTTCTGGAGGCTGGTGTTCGACTACAACTGCTCCTCCATCGTAATGCTCAACGAGATGGACGCGGCGCAGGTAGACGCAGACGCACAGGCGCTCACAGATACGCAGGCGATGCACAGGAAGAGGTGACGATCACTCGTTCTCCCTCCTCATCACGCCGTCCTTCTCCGTCTCTGTCCCTGTCTGTCCTCTGTAGTTATGTATGCAGTACTGGCCGGAGAAGAGCTCGTGCTGCTACGGTCCCATCCAGGTGGAGTTCATATCAGCGGACATCGATGAGGACATCATCAACCGGATCTTCAGGATCTGCAACATGGCCAGGGTAACGCACACGTTCTCACCTGTGGGAGAGGAGAGGAGAGGAGAGGAGTTCAGTTTAAATGATGGAAGATGAAACGTCCTGCAGCTTTACGGCAGCGGAGACTCTCACACAGTTCACACCAACATGATTTTAAAACCACATTCTCTTTTATTCAAACGATATTAAAATAAATAAACACGATGCTAATAACCTTAATGTTGTGTATTCTGCAGCTCAGAGGTCGCCTCAGGTTCAGGAGGATAATCACCAACATCTGCGTTTGCAGAAGGCAGATGTTGTAAAGATATCTTAAAATCTATTCAAGACGATATGTAGATGTGCATTCTGGGAAAGACAAAGTCAGAGTCCCGTCGCTCTCCTGTGTCCTCCTGTCTCAGTCTCTCTCGTCTCGTCTTCTCTGCTTCCCTCCCGACGTTAATCTCCTGTAGATTCAGTCGTCTTCCAGCACGAGAGCGTCGCTGATGCTGGAGGATGAGTCCTGGTCTGTGGTCTGCTGGTGTTGAGGTCAGGGGTCAGTTCAGGCCAGGAAAGTCCTGTGAAAATCATTTTTTATGCACCCGGCTTTTGTTCGAGATTATTGTCAAGATGACAAGAAAGAGCCCGAAGTCTTTATTTATAATAGTCCATAAATGTCTGAGGACAGCGGTGTGACACACCTGTTTTCATTTTGACTGTTATTTGTTCAGAATATCTGCGTTTATTTAAAGCTTGAAGCGGCGAGGAGAAAATGACGAGCAGCACGATGAATCAGAGCGAGTCGGAACCGGCTTCAGAAGATGTCTGGTTCTGTCCCCGGGCATCGCATGGTGACGGCACATTTCCCGTGCCATCCCCTAATAAGGCCAATCTATAGTCTTCACCTGTATGTGTGAAGACAGAACACGGTCACATGATCTTACCTCCTGCGCTCCTGTGTCATCCCTTTGCCTCACTTCACTCATCCTGCTCTGGAACTGGATTTGGGCCGTTGTGTTTCCCCCCCCCCCCGCATTCCTTATCTGTAAGAGCTTGGTTTCCATAGCTACGGAGGATAAAGATGGCTCCGGCTGGACACTATCACTTATGGCAGGAGCTCAACGGTTTGAACCCGTGAGGTCATCGTGACCCGAAAGTCTGGAGGTCTGAACGGTCTGGAGCACAAAAACCAGATGTTTGGCAGTTTGTGAGACAGACTGGGGACCAGCTGCCTGGCCTCTGATAAAAATACACAATGTTTTGATAAAAAATAAATAAAAAGACTCAGATAATTCCTCCTTGACCTACATTTGGCTAAAAGAAAGCGAAGGTGGTGGAATGATACGACCGGCAGCGTGATGTAAAGAGGTTTGTGTGTGACCTCTGAACAGCTGGTTGGATGATATCGAAGCCAATCGACTGAATCGCTAACACACTGCAGCAGCCGGGCTAACACAGGGTAGCAGGAGACGGTGCGGTAACAACACAACGGTTTGAAGATTATTCTCCTCTTATCTCCTGGTTCTCTCCTCTCCCGTCACTTCCTCACCTCTCCTCTCCCCCCTTTCTCTTTTTCCTCCCCTCTTGCCTCCTCTTGTTACTCCCCTCTCATCTCATTTCATCACCCATCCATGACGTTACGACTCTAGCGGCGCTCTATTGTCTGCGCGCTCCTATAGTGCTCAGTGAACTCCCCACTACCTCGACTCTCTATATTCTACTGCTCTCTCTCTCTCTCTCTCTCTCGCTCTCTCCCTCTCAAACACATCACCAGTCTAGCGTGAAATGGCTCATATCATCGCCACAACAGCACGTCTCACACCGTGAGAGCAGCTCCGACCAAGCTGAGTCTGTACCACCAACCACTAAGCCATCAAATGAAGGAGGAGGCGGCGAGAGAGCGAGGGGAAAGAGAAAAGGTTTTTGAGAAAGCGGGAAAGGAAAGTAGAGAAAAACAGTTTGAAAGAGGAGTTGATTGCCAAGGGGGAGGTGGGATAAAAAAGAAAAAAGGAGGAAGTAGATTAAAGGAAGAGAAGGAGAAACAGGAAGACAGGTGAGGTGGAAAGAGAGGGAAGGATTTGGAGGGAAAAAAGAAAAAGACCAGACGCTGCTATCTGTTTGCTTGTGTGTGTAAATGTCAATGTGCATATGCGTGTCTGGCAAAGCTAGCAGTAAATCAGTCTGACAGTGACGGCGGGTTGTGGTATTTTAGGTGGCGGATGCCAACCGCCTTAGGCCAGACAGCTGGAAACATTTTGTCTGCCATGAAATTGAATTAAACATTATAAGATGTCGTCTTTGTCGAGTCCAATCCTATTTACTTTGAAAAAGCATTTTGTTCAGAAACAAGAACTAATTGTGGCACAAAGGCCTGAGAAGTGTTTTATGGATCATTTGGAGTCTGTCGTCACCAAAATGAGACCGCTGCCGCCGCCACGGAAGAGAGACGTCCACGTCCACACCGGACCAGGTGATCGGACTCGACGCAGACGCACCTCAGACTTTTCGATCGCAGCTCGACGAGGTCTGTGCCAAACATTTGATCTTAAATACGAGAAACAACAGTGTTGAGACTCTTCCTGTGAGAAACGAGCCCGCAGGTCGTCTGTCAGCAGCTTGTTATGACATCATAGTTAGGTTTTGTTGCTAGGCGACATCTAGTGGCTGAAGTGATGATGACAGGAGCAAAAAGGGAAAAGCGTCGGTGACGTAGTTTAAAGAGAGACAGAGTCCACGTCAGGAGGAGGAGGAGGAGGATGAATGTGACACAGGAGAGCCGTGTGTTCGATTCCCGTGTGAAACCAGCAGTTTGTAAGTCGTAACCATGACAACAAAGATTGTCTAATGTTGAGGAAGTTACTTATTTTAACCCAAATCACCATCTTTTCCTGAACCTAACCGAGCCACGACAGTTATTATGGTAACTATGGCTGTCGGTACATTTATATTTATTAGTGTAACCATGACAACCAAAGTCCGGCACGCCTGCCGCTATAGGGGCGCTATTTTAGGAGACACTCCAGAGGGTTGATGGTTGGAGGACAAGTTGATTGCATCACACTCACCATGGAATAACTGCATGATGTCGACAGCTCACACCTGTCTCCTCACCTGTCTCCTCACCCGTCTCCTCACCCGTCTCCTCACCTGTCTCCTCACCTGTCTCCGCAGCCACAGGACGGTTACCGCCTGGTGCAGCACTTCCAGTTCATCGGCTGGCCGGCCTACAGGGACACGCCTCTCTCCAAGCGCTCCATCCTCCAGTTGGTCCGGAGGCTGGCTAAGTGGCAGGAGCAGTATGACGGCGGAGACGGGAGGACTGTGGTGCACTGCCTGTGAGTTCAACATCTCACACACACACACTTCTCTCTGTCTCTCTCTCTCTCACACACACACACACACACACACACACACACACACACACACACACACACACACTTGAAAACGTGATAAAATAGTAGGAAGCGAGTGAAGGAGGACAGGAACAAACACCGTCACCGGGACGATAAATCAAGACAAAATCGTAGGAAGACAAACGTGCCCTTTGTGCGCGTGTCTGTGTGTGTGTGTGTGTGTGTGTGTGTGTGTGTGTGTGTGTGTGTGTGTGTGTGTGAGAGAGAGAGACAGAGAGAAGGAGACACAAAGATTTACAGATACAAGTTAACAATGACAAAGTACACTTTCTCTAAAAGAACACACACACACAAAACAAAGGTTCACACACACAAACACACACTCCAAGAACCACACACACACACACACACACACACACACACCTTTAAGATGATATGTACAGTAAATGGTATTCTTAAGATCATCACATTCATTTAAGAGAGTGAGACCTTCTGCTGCTGCTGCTGCTGCTGTTGTTGTTGTTGTGTTGGTTGATGCTTTATAGTTATAGTATAGACCCACATATATAAAGTCTTATTATTATTACTGCTGCATCAGATGTAGAGATATTACACTGTCTGTTATTTCTGTTTTCACCAAAGGTCTTTAAACAAGCCTAAATATGCTGATTACACACGTGTACATATGCCTGTGTGTGTGTGTGTGTGTGTGTGCGTGCGTGCGTGTGTGTGTGTGTGTGTCTTCCTGCCTGAGCAGAACAAATGAAGCTGATGATGAGGGAGGGAAAACACAGGCTGTAAAATCTATACAGGAGAGATTACAGGGAAGTTCACAAACGCTAACAACGCACACAAACACTCGCAGACGCACATACACTCCAAACATTGGCTTAAGCACATCGCTGGTGCTCATCCAATCAGCTTCCACTGTCACAGCTCATTGGGCCAATCAGAATTGGCATTGATTTGCTTCCTGGAGCTGCTGTTGGAGTTTTGTTTGCTTTTCAGTATTTTCTCTCTCTGTGTTTGTGAGAGAGAGAGAGAGAGAGAGAGAGAGAGAGAGAGAGAAATATAAAAGACACTAAGAACAAAAACAAATCTGTAGCTAATTGATTATAATTTATCTCTACATTTACATCTTCTGGGTTTTATTGATTATAGGCTGTATTTGGTGTAAAATCATCTATCACTCAGTATTTTGCCTCTGCTCACTAAATGTTTAAAAAAGTCTCATTTCTTTAGCTGCAAGGCTGAAACAGTTTGTCGCTGAGCTTGAGCTGCCAGGTAAAAACACTGTGGAGTGACCGGTGGAGCTGAACTCAACTATTGACCCTCAGATACAGAATCAATAGTTAAATGTCTGGTGCCACGTACAAATAAAGTCAGTGACAGAGACACGTTCCCCAGCTCCAATCAATCCGCCGCTCGGAGCCGTCGGCCTCAGACGTCAAACAAATGAGATATCCATCATTCATTTCAAATTAAAAGTACAAAATGACAAAAATAAAGTTCTTAAAAGTGCATCTGTTATTTCACAATAAAATAATAATGTTGTGAAACTTAAATAAAGACAAAACTACACTTTTTTCTTTTGGCCATTTCATCTGTGAAAACAAGAAGCAAGTAAAAAAAAATGGGGATGTGATTTTTTTCAACAAAAATAAAAAACTCATCCTACTAAAAGAATTACTTTTTTATTTATTTATTTTTTATTTATTTATTTTTTATTTATTTATTTATTTATTTATTTATTTATTTATTTTGGCAGGATCATTTTTCATTTTTTTAATTTATTTAAACGTTTGAAAGTTTTTTTTGTCTGTAAAAACAGCCCCTGAGAGGCAAGTGAAAAATCACCACGTTACCAAAACCATTTTTTTATTTTATTTAAGTTTGAAAGTTTTTTTTTTTTTCATTGAAAACATTTATTTTATTTTTTTTTCTTTCTATCTTCCCAGAAAAAAAAAAAAAAAATCCCGTTCCTTTCAGGCTTCTGGAGGTTTTAAACAGAAACAATAAAAACATGAAAAGATGATCCCGACTATCACAGATGATAAAAAACAAAAGACTAAAGTTATTATTATTATTCAGGGCTTCCGTAGAAAAACCATTTGGGAACAAAACACCTTGGTTCAGTAATCTCCAGCTGCCCCGGCTGTCGCGTTTAACCCCACTAACTGTGAGTGACGGGGATGTGAGCTTCCTCTGCTTCAGCCTCGCTGAATAATCAGCCCCAGATATTGATTTCACAGACTCAGTAAAAGCGGAGATAAGGAGAAACATGATAGTTCAATCAGCAGCTGGTGAAATGGATTATTCCTCTGCTCTTCGCTCGGCCCGCAGGTCGGAGTCTGATGGCTCTTTAATGCTGAACACGTGTCTCATTCTCAGCACATCGCGGGGGGGGGGGGGCAGTTAACGCAGCGTTCTCTCTGCACCTTATTTATTTAAACCTACTGTACAAAAATATGAATTTTAGATTTTAGACATATCGATCTGTCTCCTCATTAAAATGTTCCCAGCGTGCGGCAGCTCATGTCTGGAGCGATGTGGCTCCACGTTGTTTTGTCAGAGTCTTTAGTTCTGGAAGGATTTTGGTCTAAATGATCTGATGAGCCTCCGAACGCCACCTGGATCTCTGACGGCTCGTTTCTTGCCCCATTCAACTTCTGTTTTCGTGAACCCAGATCCTGGATCCCAAATCAGAAGTTACCTCCAGGACAAATATAAGTTATAATTATAGTTATAATCCAAGTTGTGATGAAAAACTTTTCCTGTAAACAGTCCCTAAACTCTTACCAGCTAAACCTCCAGTTCTAGGGGGAGAAACATAGTCACCATGTAATCCACAAAACTTTGTTTTTGGTGATTTCAGGAGCTAAAAAAAACATTTTTCTGCTTCATGTAAATGAACATTTATTAACAGTTTGTTCGTCCATCAGCACTGACACAGAACCAAAGCAGAAGCTTCAGCACGGACTGTTCTCTGGTGAAGATCGCAGCCGCTGATGGACAGACGTCTTTTATAACCGCACTGTTTCCAGAGATCATCTGCAGCTTTAGTTCTTCTGCTTGTGGCCGTTTCTTTGGCCGTCAGCTGCTGCATGTTCCGACTGTCTGACTCTCAGACACCGACGTTAATCAGCTGCCAAACGTCTCGTACACGTGCAAACAAACTGTGAAACTTATCCAGTCGCCTTGAGCCTCGCTGCCGCTTGAGTCTTGACCTGTCTTCGGCAAGTTTGCTTCCTAATATTTATGTGTTTTAGCCCTGAGTCGTATCTCACAGTAGTAAAGAGAAATGTATTTTCTATTTTTTAAACTGAAGCAAGCACTAAAAAATTAATGAAAAAAAATGAAACTAACATGAGGTCAGGGGAGAAGTGCATAAGGAAAATCTTTGCATTTTAGATTCTACTCTAAAATATTAATATCCAAACCCAGTGTAATGAAGACCTGAGGTGTCGTGTCCGGTTCCAAAAAGAGATTTACATCTAAAAAAAAATGTAATAAAACCTGATGAAGACCTGAATGAGAAATATAATATTTGTCTCTTTTAACCCTCTTTGCATTAAATTATAAGCAAAGAAAGAGGAAGAGTGGCGGCTGCGGCGGCGCTGGCATTGCTAACACAGAGCAGGTAGACGGTGTGTGAGTCTGTGACTGCTGCCACTCCACCTCTCAGCACCTGAATGTTTTATTCAGCCTGAATACTGAAGCAATTCAGCTGGAACCAGGTGAGACGGAGGAGTCTGGAGCTGTTTTCATGGTGGGTGGTTTGACTCCGGCCGGGCGGAGCGCTGACTGCTGATTGGGGCGCACAGGCAGTAAACGCTCAGATATGTTTGCATCGCTGCGCCTCTGTCCATTACAGGAAGTCCAGAAAAGAAAGAAGAAGTCACATTTAAGTTGAAGGCGTGTTTTCAAATGTCTTCCATCCATTAGTGGAGCTCTTATACTGTTGCTCCGTGTAGTGACGTGTTCAGTCCGTCACTTCCTGTCATTCTTTGTCTCGTTCGTTTTCTCAACTTTTATTGTTGAAATTCTTTGACTTTCTCAAATGCTGCGTTCAGGAACCTGCACAGTATGTACGGGAAGCGAATTGCTCCTCCTTTTCAACGCATTTACAGACATGAAAACCAAAAACAATCCCTTTAAAAACACCAAACAAGCAAAATGAAGTGCAATACAACAAATATTTCACCCTTCGCTGCATTATTTAACCCATATAAGGTCATAAACACGTCCACAGACAAGTGAGTCTTTTTAATTTCTTTGCCTTCTGACGTCAGATATCACTAAAACCTTTCAGCACAGTGACAACGAACTGACGCACTTATGAACAGTAAGCAGTCCTTTAACAGTAACCTTTTACTTTACCTTTAAACCTGAAACCAGTCCTCAGACTTTAAATGCCATCACGACAAACAAAAACAAATCTCGCCTCTGAAAAACCCGTCCTGTTTCCACTTTTATTAAAATGGGCTGAAACTAGTTTTGTCAGTTCAGGGTCGACCTCAGCGCGGCAGCTGCAGCAGAGCACAGGCAGGAGGAAGAGGGCTGAGAGGAAACATTACATTTCAGAATAAACACGTTTTGAAAAGCAGCGTTCAGGGTGATAACAGGGCGAAAACAAGTCCCTGCTGTTTTGTAAAGGAGAGAGTGAACATCTCTGACTCGTTGAACTTCAAAGGAACTGGTCTGAAAAGACTGTTTAATTCTTTCTATTCCTTTTTCTATTCTCTGTGTCATGCTGGAGGAGGATGATGATGATGATGATGAGGATGTTTAATGATGATGAATATCTTCCTCCCTCCTCCTCTGCAGTACCGGCGGAGGGCGTTCAGGAACGTTCTGTGCCATCTGCAGCATCAACGAGATGATCCAGCAGCAGAACATCGTGGACGTTTTCCACACCGTCAAAACACTGAGGAACAACAAGACTAATATGGTGGAGACAATGGTGAGGACCCACGGCACACGAACACAACACTGACACACACTGTATCAGGGTTAGGTGCAAGCATACGCTCACCCACCTGTCACTCAAAGAGGCCACGCCCTCAATCCTCCATAACTTTAACCCTTAATAAAGTGTAAACAGGTGAGTTATATAAACAGGTGTCATGAAGGAGGAAATCAGCTCTAGAGACCAAAACAGTTTTTGTACCAGGCTGTAAACATGTTTATTTCTGCTGTAAAGTTGGACATTTTAACATGGGAGTCTATGGGGACTGACTCACTGTTGGAGCCAGACTCTAGTGGTCGTTAGAGGAACTGCAGCTCCTGGTTCTCCGGTGCTGGAAGGTCATTTTTGCACAGACTCTTTGACCTTTTGCTTTCCGTGCTTTTTGTCCCTCCGCAGGAACAGTACAAGTTCTGCTACGAAGTGGCTCTGGAGGCGCTCAGCTCCTTCTGATTGGCTGCGGGCCAAAATTCTCTTTTCTGATTCGCCGTCGACGCTGCCTGTCATTCTCAACGCAACACTGGGACACGCAGGGAGCAGAAGTGCTTTGTGCTGACCCCCGAACCCGACCAGTGAGCATGTGTGCCTGTATGTGTGTGTGTGTGTGTGTGTGTGAGAGAGAGAGAGAGTGTGTGAATACAAGCGAGCATGCTTGCATATTTGGAGTGTGTGTGTGTGTGTGTGTGTGTGTGTATCTATACGTGTGCCTGTGACAACACCAACACACACAAACCTGTACAGAAGATGAAAAAAAAAAAGCGACAAACATACACACTGGTGATTTAAGTGTGTGTGTGTGTGTGTGTGTGTTCGCTTCAGCGAAACTGGGGACTTTACACGCTTGTACAAAGAAAAAAGAAAAAATGATATGTTGAAAAAAAAAAACAAAATCAGATGTTTAAAAAAAAAAAAAAAGCGCCACTTTTTCCTTCTCTATCTCTCTTCTCTCTACTGGGCTGTGATGTGACTATTGTACAGTATTTCCTTTTTAGATATATTCTACGCCTTGAATGTTGTCTCCCTCTGAAGGCCGGACGCACACTGCAAGAGTTTAGCTCAAGTCGTGGTGACGCCTCGACTCGTGTTTACAGAGAGTCGAGAGAAAAGTGTTCGGTGGATGATTCAGGTTCTGGATCAAAGCAAAAACCAACAGACACTCCTTAATATTTCTGGTGTTTTCCTTTGAGCTCACAGCCTCGTTAAACGCTATAAAAGTTGTAATTCAACAACCAGCTACAAAAAAAATCCTTCTGATTTATTTTTTTCTTCAAAATTGCATCAAGGTGAAGTTTTATAATTTATAAATATATATACAAAGTTCACGTTTACTGGGACAAATGGCTGCAAATACTGTTAAAAACAACAGCATTAATAAAACAACAGAACAAAATAAATCATGCTTTACTTTTAAGATGAAAGGCCGGCGGCACAAAACACCGAGAGTTCAGATTTTCCTTAAAGTTCGAGTTGAGGCTTCCTTAGAATAAAAAAGTTTTCTCCTTATCTTAGTGTCATACTGAAGGAATCACTTAGCAACTTAAATAAAAACTAAAGGTATGATCACCTGAACAGTTTCATGTCACATGATCTCTCCGGGGTCAGGTGTCGTCGAGGTGTTTCTCTCTTGACTGTGTCGTATAAAGTTCCCGTTCACTTCGCTCTGATGCTAACGGCTTCCCAAACGTGGCGGCAAATCAACGGTCTCCACGGAAACAGTAGAATTTAACCGCCGTAAAATCTCTTTCACTGCTGCAAAAGTAGAAAACTAAAGGTGTTTTGTGCAGCTGGCTCCAGATGTTGTCGCCTCTGCTCCATTTATATTTTTTTCCTTTGGGGCTGTGAGGAAAAAAAAAGTTTCACAGAAGTAGTTTTTCTTTTTATTTATTTTATTTTATTTGATGGTTTTTCTGGAAAACCAATCTTGTCAAAACCTTATAGTGTGCATCCACCCTTACTGTAAATAAGATAAGACAACCACAGTCAAACAAACAAACAGACAAACATCACGTACCAGACACATTACAAATAAAGGTTTTTCATTTCAAAACACCATCACTTCAAAAGAAAAAGCTGTCAGTGTCATTTTCAGCATCTCAGTGATGATTTTCCAGAATCTTTTGTTACTACAAACTGTCCATTAAAACATGCTGTTAAAAAACAAATGATATATATATTTTTGCATATTGCACATTTATCTGACCCCGCATCCAGAGAGACTGACTGAAATCAGCTGTGCAGTTATTCCAGAGGAAAAACTAAACGTAACTTATTCTACTGTTTTTCTACGTCTAGTTGGTTGATGTGGTTTTGAAAACTTGCTTTACCTTGAAAAAAGCTGAAACTGCGATAAATTATTAACTGAAATCACGACTGGCCCAACTTATGCCCCCCCCCCCCCCTCCCCAAACAACAGGCTGGCAGTCAATCAACAGCCCAGCGTCTGTTTCCAGTGCAGCGGAGCTTGCAGCTGTTTGAAGTCAGAGCTGTGTTTTGTTGCTTTGATTTGGATTTAACCTGGGTCGGGATAATTGTGTATTTTTAAGTTCTTTTGCTTTTGCTGATTATTTAAACACAGACTTTTGAACTTAATTTTATTGTTCACCTGAAGCAGCTGCAGCGTCATCAGCTCAGTTCAGCCGTATGAGCATGAGAGCAGCATTTCTTAGAGCAGTGGTTCCCGACCTTTTCCAGCTCACGACCAACTTGAAAATCTCTAATATGGATGATGGTTCATTCTCAAAGCGCTTTTTATTTTAGATATAAAGACGGAACATTCAGGACTGAGCTGACAACAGAGATCAGCTGTTGATTCATCATCTGTGTCTCGACTCTCTCCTTTAATTCTTCCTGTTTCTAACCAGCTGTCAACTCCGGCTGAGAGAGAAAAAAAATACATTTTTAACATTTGTAAAGTTTTTAAATGTTTTTAAAGATCATTTCATTTTAAAAACATTTAAAAACATTATTTATTGTCTATATATTTTTTATGCGTCCGCGCTGGCGGCAGCCAGAGCCGCCATATTGTTTTCGGATCGTCTGTCTGTACCACCCGTTCTCGTGAACACAATATCTCTGTGACACCTTGACGGAATTTCTTCAAATTTTGGCACAAACATTAATTAGGACTCAATGACGAGCTGACTAGATTTTGGTGGTCAAAGTTCAAAGGTCAAGGTCATGGCGACCTCACAAAACACAGTTTTGACCTCGTGAACCCGATATCTCGAGGACTCTCGGAGGGAATCCCTTCACTTTGGGCACAAATGGATGAACTGATTAGAGTTTGGTGTTCAAGGGTCAAAGGTCAGTGTGACATCATAAAACACTTTATAGCCATAACTCAGGACAAAATTTCACACAAACAGTTAATCTTTTCTCTGACTCTAGATAAACAGGGATGTGACCTGGAACTACACTGAGTGGCGGAGGGATACGACCACGAGGAGGTGGTTCTAGTTTTATAATTACATCTTTTCACCAAAGTTGTAGCGTTTTGCAAATGATTTGTCGGAACCACTCTCAATATACCTTCGCGGCCCACCAATGGGCCCCGGCCCACAGCTTGGGAACCACTGCTCTAAAATCAGATCATTTCCAAAAAATGCAGAAATTAGTTTCAAATCAGAACACGAGAGGAAAGACTTCAGGATAAACTTTCCCCGTCAGAGAGGTGGACGCGCTGAGGTTCTTGGTTTAGCTCAGCTCCATAAGCCAAACCGTGTTTGTATTTCCTGTGAGACGCTCTGGATAAATATCAGAGAAGAAGAAGACGCTGGGGGATCAGACAGTTTCCCCAGCCTGCCATCTATCATTAAAATGAAACACAAAGACAAAGAGACAGGTCACGATTACTTTTCCTCTGCAAAGCCTCAAAAATTTGCTTTCCGCCGAGGTGAGCGGTCGACAGCCCGCAGGTCTTAACAGGAAATGATTTCAGATGGTGATCGACCCCGGGGCCAATGAGGGTCAACGCGTCTGACAGTTCAGACGTCACCGCGGCTCAAAGGGACACGTGTTTGGAGAGCGGGAGATAATGAGAATTATACAGGAAGCGTCGCCTCATCTCCCCTCACGCCACCCGGCCTTTGACTTCCTCCGTCGTCTCGTTTAAAAGACGTGAGGGAAAAAAACGAAACCAAACGCTCCTCTGAACCGTGCCGAGTCACGACGACTGCGATGATATTATAATATTTTAGGGGATTCATGGACTATAACAGTCATATAGCATGAGGTAAACACAGGACACCAGAGTAAGGGCTTCATTTTCAAACACCCCGCACCTGTTTCAGAAGAATCACTGAAACTAAATGAACAGAACGAGTTTATATACGTCGATAATCTTTGGGGGGGAAAAAGATAAAAACCCATTATATAACTTGCTTTGACGTCAGCCATCAGGTCATACCAGCGGGTGTTAGTATGTTGAGATAATGGATTACCCAGTTTGGAATGATACTTGCTCGCAGCTTTCAGCGCTCGTGGCCAGAACCAGCGTACTTGTGGAAAAAATGTCGTGGCAAACTTGTTCAGTCTGCGCTTCCCTTTTTCTTTTTTTTTTCTCCTATCGCTGGAGTCCAGTCCGGCTCGTTAATGGACCTATCGAGACAAAGACGGTGTTGTATTGAAGACAATGTGAATGCCAGAAGTGTTTATCTTTACCTTTTTGTTTCCACTAAGGCTTTATTGTATTGGATCGGTTCATGGCCATTCATCTGTATGATACACTTTGTTTTCTTTCTGGATTTTTTGTCTTTTCTTTTTTTCTTTCGTTGTTTTGTTTTTTGTTTTGTTTTTTTTTTGTCCTAAATTTGTACATTTCTTTTTGTATAATTATTATTCTGATGATTATTTGTCTAGCAAAGTGTTGTTTAGATCTGGTGATGCCATTACCATTGGTTGTTTAGTTGTTTGAAATGTGGTTAACATGAAATAAAAGGGACCAAAATGTTGAACGTGATCTCGTCTCTGTTTCTACGACCTTGAATATTGATGAAATGAACATTTCATGCATCAATGTGAAGAGTCTGATGGACAGTGAAAGATTTCACCGTGACTGAAGCAACTACACTTTTTATACTTTTAAATGCTGCTCAGGGCTTCTTCTACAAATCCTCAGATGTTGAGTATTTCTGTTAATCTTACAGATAAAGGTTATGGTCCTTCATCGTCATAGCAACATTAACAAAAAGGCCGGTTTAAAGTGTGAACCAATCATATATAGAAAAGAAAACAACACTGACAGCTCCATCCCTCCCCAACCTGCTCCGTCCTGACGCCCAATCTGTCCATCCGTCTGTATCCTACGTCACCTTCAGTGGCGATCCCAGACGAAGCCCATCGAAGAACCCCCCCCCCACCACCTCACAAGCACACGAGTCCCCTGAACGCCTCACGTGCAGACTCTCGGGAGAAGCTACAATTTTCATGTAAATTGTACCATCTAACATAACCGG